GATATGGAGAAACAAAAAACCCAGAATTGCTAAGACAATCCTGTACAACAATAGATTTTTTGGAGGTATCTCCATACCTGATCTCAAGCTGTACTATAGAACAACAGTAAATAAAAGCTGCATGGTACTGGCATAGAAACAGAATGATGAACTGTAATTAATAAGAAATAATTAATTTTTAAACTAATTTAAAAAATAGACAGAATGGTGGAACAATGGAATTGAATAGAAGACCCAGAAACAAACCTACACACCTATAGATACTTGATTTTTAACAAAGAAGCCAAAATAATACAATGGAAAAAAGATAGCATATTCAATAAATGGTGCTGATCTAACTGGTTGTCTACATGTAGAAAAAAGCAAATGGATCTATATTTATCACCTTGCACAAAACTAAAGTCTAAGTGGATCAAAGACCTCAGCATAAAACCAGACACACTAAACTTGTTAGAAGAAAAAGTGGGAAAGAACCTTGAACTTATTGGCACAGGAGACAACTTCCTGAACAGAACACCAACAGCACAGGCTCTAAGATCAACAATCAATAAATGGGACGTCATGAAACTGAAAAGCTTCTGTAAAGCAAAGGACACTGTCATCAGAACAAAATGACAGCCTACATATTGCGAAAGGATCTTCACCAATCCCATACCTGACAGAGGGCTAATATCCAGGGTATATAAAGAACTTAAGAAGTTAAACACAACAAACCAAGTAATCTAATTAAAAAATGGTACAGAGCTAAACAGAATTCGCAATAGAGTAATACTGAATGGCAGAGAAACACTTAAAGAAATGTTCAACGTCCTTAGTCATCAGGGAGATACAAATAAAAAAAAAAAAAAGCCCCCAAGATTTCACCTTGCAGCCATCAGAATGGCTAAGACCAAAAACTCAAGTGACAACACATGCTAGAGAGGATGTGGAGAAAGGCGAACCCTCCTCCACTGCTGGTGGGAATGTAAACTTGAACAACCACTTTGGAAATCAATCTGGCGCTTTCTCAGACAACTAGGAATAGTGCTACCTCAAGATCCAGCTATACCACTCCTAGGCATATATCCAAAATATGCTCAATTATACAACAAGGACATTTGCTCAACCATGTTTGCAGCAGTTTTATTTGTAATAGCCAGAATCTGGAAACAACCTAGATGTCCCTCAATGGAGGAATAGATACAGAAATTATGGCACATTTACACAATGGAATACTACTCAGCAATTAAAAAAAAAAGGGAAATCATGAAATTTGCAGGCAAATGGTGGGAACCAGAAAAGCTTATCTTGAATGAGTTAACCCAGAAACAGAAAGACACACGTGGTATATACTCACTCAAAAGTTGTTATTAGACATATAATATAGGATAAACATACTAAAATCTATACTCCTAAAGTAGCTAAACAACAAGGAAGACCATAAGGAAGATGCTCAATCCTCATTCATTCAGAAGGACAATGTGATAGACATAGGAAGAAGAAGACAGGGTACAGGACAGGAGCCTACCACAGATAGCCTCTGAAAGACTACTGATCAAGGTATCAAAACAGAGGCTGAGACTCATAGCCAAACTTTGGGCAGAGTGCAAGGAATTTTATGAATGACGGGGGAGATAGAAAGACCTGGAGGAGACAGAAGCTCCTAAAGGAAACCAATAGAGCCAAACAAACAAACAAACAAAAAAACTGGGCCCTGGGGGCCTTGAAGAGAAAGATACCCCAACCAAGGACAACGCATGGAGAGGAACTAAAACCCAGCTCAGATGTAGCTCATAGACTCAGTTTCCAAGTGGGTTCCCTATTAAGGGGAGCAGCACTCCTCCATGGTTCTGTTTCAGTTCCTGCCCAGACTTTCTTCAGTGATGGAGTATATCCTGAGAGCTGTAAGACGAAATAAACCATTTTCTCCCAAGCTGCTTCTGATCATGGTGTTTATCACAGCAGTAGAAACCCTGATGAAGACTATTCCCTAAGATGAAGTGGGACTAATGTGCACAGGGAGAAACTGGAACTCAGTAGGATCAAAGGCTAAACATCCTGTGATAGTGAATGTTGTCAACTTAATTGGGTTTTAAACTCTTAGGACATTAGTGGGACACGCTTCAGGTGTGTCTAAGGGTGTTTCCAGAGAGGATTAGCTGAGAGGGAAGACCTGCCCTGACTGTAGGCAGCCCCACCACATAAGCTAGGGTGCCAGGCAGAATAAGAATTGGAGGAGGGTACACAGAAAGCTAGATATCATCAGCATTCCCCTTTCTCTGTTTTCTGATGTAATGCCAGGTTCACGGGACCCTCAGAGACAACCAGGAGGTGACTTGATGCAATAGCAAGAGAGCTTTATTATGAGAGCAAAAGTGATTGTACTCGGGACCCAAGTCTCACTGATGCAGCAGTAGAGAAGTTGGATCCCGAGCTCTGAGTGAACAGGATATTTAAAGGGAAAGTCTGTAAGCAGGGGGTTTCCATGGCAACAAGCGGGGGGTGGGGTGGGGATGGCACAGCCTTGGCCTTACAGAACTGGGTGAAGTTTAGTGGGGCGGGGTGACATTTTCTGAAGCACACAATCACAATGGCTAAGGCATATAATCACAATGGCTATTTTTCTAAACCATATCTGAAACATTGGGGAGAATTTTCCCACCCGATTTCCAACTGATTTCCACTGATTATTGTCAGGGAGTTTGTCTCTATTTTCTACGAAGCATTTATTCTGTATTATTTCCTGAAGGCTGCTGCTAAGAGAGTTAACTTTGTTTTCTGCCAAGTGCACATTCTCTGATATTTCCTGGTACCTGAATTCAGCTCCCAGTCAAGATGGCTCTTTACCCAGGCTAACTATACCCAGGCTAACTTAAACTCTTCATTACTGTACAAAAAATTCCAATAGCAAGCTGGCAGTTGGTGGCACATGCTTTTAATGCCAGCACTCAGGAGGCAGAGGCCAGCCTGGTTTACACAGCAAGTTCCCAGGACAGCCAGGGCTACATAGAGAAACCATGTCTCAGGAAAACAAACAAACAACAAAAAGAAAACAAGGGCAAAACAAAAACAATTGCTACTTTGCTTTTCCTTCCCTTGCTTTGGCCCTAGCAATCTCTAGCCTTCTTGCCCTCTCTTTTACCATCATTTTTAATGAGAGAAGTGAATAAAGTACAAGGGGTTTCTGAGTAGCCTTTCAGAAGGGTATGGTAACAGAATTATAGCATAGCCATTAAATAAGATATTTTATGGACATTAGAAATAACTTAGTGCAGCTGAGGATATATAGGTCACTGTGTTTGCATAATAGATGCAAGGCCCTGAGTTTGATCCCCAACTAAAAATCATTAAAAGACTTTATCATGAAGTGAAATTTATGCTACCTAATTTCTAAAAAAAATTAAAGTTGAAAAGCAATGAATATACACTAGTATGAACCAGACTATGGTCTGTTTTGTGAACAGCCTAGAAATACAAAACTTTTAAATGATATCAAGATAATTCATAATCATTTTCATTTATCTTTTTAAATTTTTACAACTTTTTGAAACTAGTGGAAATGATGTCAAATTACCGGGTTAGAGAATTAAAGAACACAGACTTCAGACAGTCTAGGCTCTGATTTGTATCTAGTGCTTATCACAGTCACAGACCTCAAGGTCACAGCCTTCTCTGGCAACCCAGAACCTTAAGCTGTAAAGGTAGCAGCTCTCCCACCTGGAGCGCAGCCAGGACCTCTTGCTGTAGACACTCCTACCCACACCCTCTGGCCCTTCCCCTTTTACCTCATACCTCTCCCTCCCCAACCTTACCTTTTAAGATAACTTACTATGTATACCAAGGACTCCTCACCAACTTCCTTATGTCGGAGTATTAACAGAGAGTTTAAATCTGAATTCCAGTTGTACTTCCTCTATATGAGCTGAATAGTAAGGAAACTGGTGTGAACAAACAAATTACTTTGGTAATTCAAGCAAAATAACTACAAGTTGTCCTTCCTGTCCCTACTTTATAAAGAGATAAACCTCACACAGGTACTGGAGCCTGCCATGCCTCATCCTTTCCTCCAGAACAATCTTAGGGGCAGAGGCTCACTAGGAAGCCACTACCTACCTACACCTCTCTCTCTCACTCTCTCTCTCTCTCTCTCTCTCTCTCTCTCTCTCTCCCTCTCTCCTTTATCACTCTAGTCTAGGGCTCCCACAACTACTCCTTGAGACTCTGGATTACATTTGTGTTCCAGTCTCCCTAGCTCACTTGGGTTTTTGTCCATTCTATTATGGCTCAGGGACACAGCAGGCCACCTCCCTCTGTTACATTCTCACAGCCTAGACCCACAACTAGAGCATTCTCATAGGTGCAATGAAACCCTTTGCAGGGAGAGCTCCTGATCAGAGCATAAGCTCAACAGCATGGAGCTACCCAGAGTCAAGAATGCACTTACTTTCAGGGATTCAACGAACATTGAAAAGAATCACTTTTTTGTAAAGCTCAAAGTAGAACAGCAAAGGAACAGAAAACACTATATAACCAGGTAAAAGCTGGGGCCGAGACAGGAAGGGTGTGTTTACACAGTGCAGACTCCAAAAGCAGGCTGGGAACCTCCTGAGAAGCAGCAGCACACCTCGGACGCTTCCTGAGACAAAGAATCCACAGTCAGCAGCAGAGGCATAACGTGCGGCTCCAGTTTCGAGCATGGCTCCCTCTGTCGCCAGCAGGGGACGTCAAGGCCTCGGTTCCATTCATTCAGGAGAGACAAACACAAAACAAATCAGAAGGCACCTGGCGCATAGCATTGTGATTAGCACCCGTGACGCTTTGAGTAGGACGAAGGAAAAACTAATTCCAGCTCGGGACCTAAGTACGAAGACCATTGGGAGTGGGTGGTGACAGAGCTTCACCGGTGGGTGAAGTGGAAATTAAGGTGGAGCAGTACTCAGAGGTCAGTCTTGGGAGAAAGGGGTGGAGAAAGACAGGCTTGAGGGAAGGATTGGGGCAGAAGAGAGGGAGGGGCAAGTGGGCTCCGCCTTCGTCCAGGTCTGGAGCTGGTTTTAGGCGTCCCTTGCAGACAGGTGAGCCAGACCTCTTGGGGCCTCAACAGGGGGCGGGGCGCAGGCCACCGGAGTTGGGCTGGTGTGGGCGGAGAGGGTCTGCGCGTTCTTGTTGCTCCAAGTTCAGGAAACTGGCAGGGTGTTTGCCTGGTGTGAACTGTCTTGAGATTGACTGTTGCTGCTTTCTCAGAGAAAAGGTGTTCCTCTTCTCACCCTCCTCCCAGCCTCTGTGTGGGCAGGAAACTTGAAATCTGAGTTTAGTGACTTGGGGGGTTGAAGGAGGAGGCTTGGGTCGGGACAACGTGGGGTAGAGAAGAGTCATTAGGACTTTTAGGCCTTTCTAAGATTCTTTCTCACTCTCTTGGTGTCCCCGCGGCGGCCTTGTTGTGTCTGGATTCACATTCTCCTCTATCCATAGCATGGGCTGACTCAACTGTGACAGACAGCAAAAATCTGGCTGACAGGTGAGTGATGTGTCCTCTTCCTTTTTCCAGCAGGGTCATATTGTCGACCCTCTCGCTGGGAAGAACAGAATGGAGGTCTGACCAGACCAGGAAAAGGGCAGAACTTGGCCCATTACCTGGATTCCAGAGATGCCTGTGTGCACTGAGCTCACAGGCCACAGGCCAGGCAAGGTGTAGTTGGGATCATGCAGGAGAGAGACAGAGACACAGAGAGACGGAGAGATGCAGAGAGAGATAGAGAAACACAGAGAGAGCAAGGAATGCAGGCAGTGCCAAGGCATAGTAAACTCAGATGAACGCCGAAAATCAGAACTGAACTGGTTTCCCAGCTTTTCACACCAATTGCTTAAAGAGAATGATGGAGCCCTGAGAGGCTCTGAAGATCACGTATTTCTGACTGAAACCTGGAACCAAAATAAAGGAGCATAGTATATTTACTTTGGGTCCGGTACTGCCATGGGACAATCACTAGCTAACACACAACTGTGTGTCTTTCTGCAGGTGCCCTGGGAGGGGCCATGGTGCCACAGTTGTGGGGGAAACTGAAGCAACCATTTCTCTTCCTGAGCAGTGCCTCACTCCTGCTGGGTCTGGCTTTACTAGTCATCCAGCCTAATGTCGCGCCTGTTGCTTATTTCTTCCTTTGCTTGGCTGGCTTCTGCTTCTGTGCCTGCCTCCTGGCCTGTGTTGTGGAACTGTGCCTCCAGTCAACGCAGAGCTCAAGGGAGACTGAGAATCCAGAGACCTCAGGCAATGCGCGGTGAGTTGAGAGATGATCAGGATGACAGGAAGACACCCTAAGCCCTTGTTCCTTCTATGGCTATAGTTTAAGCACAGACTCTGCTTTCCTCTGTCGCTGGTATCATTCAGAGCAATAGTTAGCAGATAATAGAGGGGTCTTTTGCAAATGTGGAAAAGAAAAAAAGGAGGGGGTCCTTTCACGCAGCCACTCATGACTGTATTTCTGCTCCCACAGGGACAATGAAGCTTTTGAGGTGCCAACCTATGAACAGGCTGTGGTGGTGATGGACTCACAATCTCAGCGCCACTTCCCAGAGCTGGAGCAACCACCCCCTTACAGCAGCATCGTAGTATCCCCAGGAGCTGAGGGAGCACAGCCTAGCCAACCAGAGAGGCCTATCACAGGCAGGCTGAAAAGGCGAGTGGGCTCAGAGGGGACAATGACTCGTAGAGGAAACTCAGGAAGAGCACTTCGACTTAGGGGTCCACGAGTTGTGTCCACTGCGCCTGATCTGCAAAGCTTGAGGATGGCCCCCAAATTGGAGCCAAATACTCCACCCCCTGCCTATGAAATCTGTTTTGCTCACCCTGATGACGACGATGTTTTCTATGAAAATAAATGGATAGTTCCCTAAGCGATACCCTCAGAACTCATCATCTGTGCCTGTTTGCCGAGTATTTCCTAATATCTACTGAATCAAAAGCTGGCTTTTCCCGGACTTCACAAATGGGCCCTTCAAACCAGCGAGGTGTCGGGCTATACCTAGTGTGGTATACTTGGATTCTTCTGGAAACATTCTGGAGCCGGCCTGATGACAGCATTTCCACAGGAAGATGAGAAAGATAAGTGATCAAGAATATCTGGAGCGGTACCTCTGAGTAATAGCTGTGTTTCATCTGTTCCAGACACCAAGCCTCCCTAAGATTTCTGGTGGAGTATTACCTACCAGGACAATGAGAGATTCTAAGGGTGAGGGGAGCTGAATAGTTTACACGAGAACAAGATACTAGTAAAAACATAAAAATAACTCGAATCAAATCCTAATTCCAGTGCCTACTGTTTTCAATACAAAACAGGCAATCCACATTACTTTAGCCTTGTCTTGGGACAACTGGTAGAGAAGAATAAAAGTCTAAATAAGACAGAGCGGGAGGCCATTTAAGGTAGGGTAAGTGCGACCAGGAGCGCTCCCAGCCTGGGAGAAGAGCGCCTTCTAGTGCTTCTCATTTTCTCTGCACCCTGGCCCTCGAAGTTCAAGGCGAACAGGGAAGGCCAGCTTCTGTGGGCTCTTTGTAGTTACTGCAGGAGGGGCGGGAGGTACCAGGGGAGGGGGCTGCGGTTTCCGCGGGAATCGATAGCCAATCGTGTCCCAGGGTGGGAGAAGCCCCGTTCTTTTCCCGCCCCTTCCCGTTCCTTCCATAGCCTCCTCTCTTCCCATTGGACTGTTGGGGCCCCGGTGAGCAGTGTGCGCTTGCGCCTCTCCAGGGGGCGGGGCCTGCCGGGTCGGGGCGTGGCCGCGCGCAGGCGCGGGGCGGCGCGGCTCGGGTGGGAGGCTGGGGGAGGGATGCAGGGGCTGGCGCGGCCGGGCGTTTGTTTGTTTAGTGGGTGGTGCGCGTGCAGCCCGGGAAAAGCTGGAAATGGCGGCGCGGAGCGGGAGGTCGCGGGCTACCCTGCACGGGAAGGGGCTGATGGCGGCCGACCGGAGGAGCAGGTGAGGAGAGCGGGGCGGGGAGGCCGCCGCGCGAGCGGCGCGGTGTCTTGGCCTGGTCCCGCGTGGGCAGAGGCTGCGGCAGCTCCCTTTGTCCACCGCAGGAGAGTCTGCGCCAGAGTGGGTCTGTCAGCCGCGCTGGACCTCGCGGGCAGCGTCTCCGGAGGAGATGCTCCTCCTTTTCTATCCAGTTCTCGTCTGAGGACTTAAACTCTTGTCTCCCTAAAAAACCACAAAGACCTTCTGCAGACTTCGCCGCGCGGCCTGGGGCGCTTTTGATGTGGATTGACGTATCTCGTGCCCTGCACTGCTTCCCATCTGAGAGCTGTTTGCCAGAGAATTCCACGCAGGTTTAGGGGATTCGAATCCTTTGAGAGGACCACACAGTTCCTCTTAGTCTCCTCAGTTAGTTTCGATGCAAACACTGCACAGGAGGACACAATTTAATGTTTCCTCTCCAAACCGCCAACGCTGACTTAGAAACGCGAACCTTCAAAGCGCACGGAACAAAAACGTTAGAACCATCTTGGTGCTGTTTTTCTCCGTTCCCTTTTCCATGGTGTCCTAAAATTCCGGGTGACTAGAAACTTTGGGAAAGTTCATACTTAATCCTCTTTTTGTAGGGTTGTTTGTTTTTTAAGGCAGTAGCAGGTGCGCGGAGTGGTGCTTTAGATAAAAACTAGTGTTCAAAATTCAAGCATGGGACATAAGAGGGCTCAGAACGTGAGTCAGTAGATTGTGCCTGTGGATGAAATTGCCTAGGGAAGAGGCGTCTTTTGCAGGGGAGTCCTAGTGTGATGTCAGCATTTAAAGGCTCCCGGGCTGTAATCCTGGCACCCTGATGGCTGAGGCAAGAGGATTGGAAACTCAAGACCAGTTTGGTCTACGGAGCTCTAGACCTAGTCGTATCGAAGGTGGTGGGGAACAGGTCAAATACCCTCAAAAGGAAACCAGAGCCTGGTGAGAACTGAGGCGAATAGTGAGGATGTTAAGCGAAGACAGCCTTTTAAGAAATGGCTGCTTCTGATGAACTAAAAAAAAAACTCTGCTGTACCGTTAATTATGTACCCAAGGATATACCCAACCAACAGGTGCAGTTGGTTTATACTTAGCCTCATCACTGTGTTGTCTTTTAAGGTTATTCTTACTGAAGTTTTAAATTTATGTAGATGTTATTGTAGTGGATTTTGAGATAGCTGGTCCATTCTGAATACTTCCTCTGCCTCCATATCTCTTGATAATGCAATGTCCTGTTTTTTTAATCTGTCTACTTGAAGGACTTAATTTAATCTAGGGACATTCAGCAAGTGCATGGTATTGCATTGATTGAGGATGCTTATTTGTTTTCTATTTTACCCACAATGAAATCAGGATTCATCTAAAAATCTATTTTGATGTATAAAGTGAATCTGTTTTACAGTATCACCTCCACTGCCCTCAGACCATAAGCATTGTCTCATGTTGAACAAACTGGAGATCTGAGTTTATATGCATTGTGCACCTAAAGGATATTTACTGGAAATGGGATTCTGTTATTCATGAGCATAAGCAGGTTGCTTCAAATTTGAGATCTAAACTAGGAAATCTTTCAAATACAGTACTGCTGGTAAACCAAATTACCAAAATAATTTACCATTGCTTGTACTATCCTTGTGATTACAAGTTATATCATGTTCACCATTGGTATCTACCTAATGTGGTTTTATTTAGTTTCTACTTACCAATTTCTTGTTGGATTTTGATCATTTTTTAGTATTAGGTTATCAAGGAAATAGAGAATATTTTTTAAAGATTTTATTTATTATTTATACAACATTCTGCCTGTACACCAGATCTTACTATAGATGGTTATGAGCCACCAATGTGGTTGCTGGGAAATGAGCTCAGGACCTTAGGAAGAACAGTGAGTGTTCTTAACCTCTGAGCCATTTCTGAGCCATTTCTCCAGCTCATAGAATATTTTTAAAATTATAATTAATGTGAGCAGTCTAGAGCAAGTTTATGTCTTTAAAATGTGGCTGTCAGCTTTAGGCTTTTATTTCTTTATTCCTGTCCTAAGATCATTTTCACTGTAGGTTAGTTTTAAAAGTATGTCTTATTTTCTGAACGTTAGAGCTTGCCTATCAGAAGAGTGTTTCTTCTCTTGGATATATTTGTGCTTCTTTATATTAAATTGACCAAGATAGTTCCTTCCTCTCATAGTCAGATAATTATCTCAGATAGTCTGATATAAACATTCTCTAGAGAATTATACCTTATTTGCTTAGTGTCAGTATGTTACTGCTTAGTTTATTTTTATTTAAAGAGTGTTAATAAAATACGCCTTTATCTTGCTTCTAAGTGCATTTTGCTCTTACCCACTCCTCTTCTCCTCTTCCGTGTGCAGGCTTATGCTTGACAGTCCCTCTGCCTGCCTTCTTTTTGTAGGATATTGGCAGTGTGTGGTATGCACCCTGACCATCAGGAAAGTCTGAAAAGGAACCGAGTAGTGCTGGCCAAACAACTGTTGCTGAGTGAACTGTTAGAACATCTGCTAGAAAAGGACATCATCACTCTGGAAATGAGGGAGCTCATCCAGGTATCTGTAGGTGAAAGAGGCTCCGAGGAGATAAACTGGTTCTAGGGTGGGACAGAGAAAGACTGAAAGGACGTGCTTCCTTGTTAAGGAAATGGAAAGTTCTTCTCAGCCTTGAGAAATTGACAGAAAAATGTCACCTGTGTATACTCCCTTGGTAAAAAGGAATTCCCAAGATGAATGAGAACACTGCTAGGAGTTCATGTGGAAAAATAGCTTTATAACTAGATAAGAAGATATAATTTAATGTTTTATCCTTCTGACCTAGGCCAAAGGAGGCAGCTTCAGCCAGAATGTGGAACTTCTCAACCTGTTGCCAAAGAGAGGACCTCAGGCTTTTGATGCCTTCTGTGAGGCCCTGCGGGAGACCAGTCAGGGCCACTTGGAAGACTTATTACTCACAACTCTCTCTGATATTCAGCATGTACTGCCACCGGTAAGAAGCCATAGAAATGTATCTTGGGATGGGTTAGTTTGATCAGAAAAGATAAGGAGCAGTGCACACAGGGAGAGACTTGATTTTATTTAAGACAGAGCCATCTCTCTGGGGTCTTTCATGGTGAATCTTGATATCTTACAGTTGAGCTGTGACTATGACACAAGTCTCCCTTTCTCAGTGTGTGAGTCCTGCCCGCCTCAGAAGCAGCTTCGCCTCTCCACAGGTGAGAATTAATAGGACAGAAGGAACCTCCCACATTGACTTAGTTGCTTTTTGACTGGTATCTGACTTTTTCCTAAACGTGAGACACATTTCAAGATAGGAACAGTTCTTTGTGAATTTTTGACAGGCTAGCAGAACAGGTTAGAAGGGATATAAATTAAACTCATATCCCTCCATCATAGGTAGTATTCTTCAAAATAATTGGCTTTTTGTGCAATATATTCAGGTAGGAAATACGACTCACTCATTGTATATGATTTGAGATGTCTTCTCTTTAAAGCCAAATGAGAAAATGCTACATTCAGGGCTCCCTCTATGTACTGAGATGATTAGAACCAGGCTTGTCCCTCATTCAGCAAGTTGAGTATTTGCTATTTGAATCCGTAAGTTGCGGGGAGGGGGTGGCCAGTAATGAGCAGAAGCCAACATAGTCTGCCAGCATGGTACTTACATGTTTTCAAACCTCAGTTTAAGGGCTGTCTGCAGTTAAAGTGATTAATACGAGCAGTGCTGAAATGTGTACTAGCTTTTGGCATTTTTTTTCTACCACAGATACTATGGAACACTCCTTAGATAATGGTGATGGTCCTCCCTGCCTTCAGGTGAAACCGTGCACTCCTGAGTTTTATCAAGCACACTACCAGCTGGTGAGTTTGTCTAATTTCAAAGAAGAGGTGGGGAGTGCGAGCTTTTCCTGTTCTTCTGAACCTAGTTTGCATGTTTCCTTGCTGCCTTGTTTCTTGTCAGAAAGTCGTCCATTGATGCCTCCTTTGGCTTTCCTTTTTTTCCAGGTGCGGTAAAACAGAAGAATTGGTTTTGGGGAGCTGTTGTCTGCTTTTGGGATGAGGGTTATTGTTTGGGCTGTGTTTTGATCTCGTAGGGTAGTCACAATGCCTGTCTTCAAGAAGCTCGAGCTCTAATTGGCTTCCTCCTCCTAGGCCTATAGATTGCGGTCTCAGCCTCGTGGCTTGGCACTAGTGTTGAGTAATGTGCACTTCACTGGAGAGAAAGACCTGGAATTCCGCTCTGGAGGGGATGTGGACCACAGTACTCTAGTCACCCTCTTCAAGCTTTTGGGCTACAGTGTCCATGTTCTACAT